TTGGACACGCAGCTCTGAGAGACGGTGGCCCTGGCAGCCCTGTCCCTTCGCTCTGAAAGGGCCTGTGTTTTCTGGAGGGGGAAGGCGGGGCTCGTGGGCCGTGGGAGCTGCCCGGCTGGCTGGCAGGCCTCTTGGGCTCACTGGCAGTTCAAGGACCGCCTGAGGGCGGCTGGGCCCAAGCCATGCTGCCTCTGGAAGAGCTTCGAGTGCCTGGCCCCTAATTGGTTTCGTTTGTTCCAAGAGGGCAGGGCCGACATCGTTGGCCTCCCGTGTCCGTGCCCGGGGAGTGCCAGGCCTGAGTATTCTGTAGCTTGGGGCTAGGGGCGGGCTGCTTACTGGGGCTGCTCCTGGGACCCCTTCTCCATCTGGGTTTCGATGTCCTAATCGGGCTGATATTTCCGGAAGAGAAAAGACCGCATAGAGGCGAGGAGTGAGCGAACCATCCCCACCTCCTGAAACAAGACCGAGAGGAGGGAAGTTGAGGCTCACACTCAGTGTGTGAGTCTGTAAAATGTGAGTCTCCGTGGCCTCAATTGTCCCATCTGTCAAATGGGGAAAGATGAGAATTGGACTAAAAATCCTCCACACCCTGAATGGTAAGGACACAGCGTTGAGATATATACGTCCTGCCCCGAAGCTACAAAAATCCCCTTGGTTCCACTTTAGCCTGGTTCTGGCTGCATCCCAGGCCTCCGCATGGACACGGCCTCGTTCTTGTACTGTGGTGGTTAAGAGCTGGGCATTGGCGTCTCATGTATCTAGACGGTGAAACTGGTTCTGTCAGTTACTCTTCCTCTTGTTATGTTTTCTCATCTGTAAAATAGAGATCATCATTGTTTCCTCTTAATGGGGTTTAAATGACACCAGGTACTTGCAGAATAGGCCTTTGTTCAGTGTTAGGTGATGGTGGCAGGACATTCTGCAACTCCAGGGAGCACCATGTTCATTGTAGGTGGGTATATGGTACCCTTTGGGGTTGTGCAGTGCACAGCCTGATCAACCATACCCAGCAGTAAGGTGATAGTGGTGTGGTGGTGGTGGGGGTTATTATATTTACTTTTCCTGAAGTCCAAGGTCCCTAGGCTAAGAGGAAGGGAGAGGCCTTATTGGCAGAGACCCAGGGGCTCCCTAAGGCAGCAGTACCTTAGCTCAGACTCTCAGCTCACAACACTCTGCCTGAGCAATGAGCTGGCTCCTCCCTTGCGGGAACAGGCAAGTTCAGACCCTCGCTGTGGCATCTTCTCCATAGCTGCACTGAAGCTCTTCCCCCAGATGTCACTGTCAAGTGCTCTTGGAAGCCTGAAACCTCTCTGCCTCTCTGAGGGGGCCCAGCCCTTCTCCCGGGCACCCGTGCCTGATGCAGCATCTCCTTTGCCTCCGTAGGGCTCTGCTGACAGACAGCCTTAGTGAGCCGGCACAAGGGCCGGAGCCCCGAGATGAGAGTGTCCCGGGGAGGTAAGTGCATCCAGAAGGCCCCCCAGAGTCCCCGTGTCCCTCCCGGAGACAGCCCTCAGCAGGGTCACCCCCATGCCCCCAGCCTCCATTATGGGGCACTAAGCAGACTTCCCCAGCTGGATGTCTTCTTCCTATTCAGCCGGCAGGTTGGAAATCTGGTTTTAGCAGAAGCCAGATTCCAGCAGCATAGGGCAGGGCTCTGCTCTTCCTTGTCTCGTAGGAAGATGCTACTCCTGGTGACAGCATGGAGAAGGCTGAGTTCCAAACCAGAAAGGGGACTTGCCCAGCCTCATGGCGCAGATTCAAGGCACAGCCAGAACCCAAGCCCTCTTAGTGTCCCAGGTTGCTGATGCTAGTGTTTTTCGTGGGCTGGCTCAGCCCCTCACACAAGAGTTCCTTGACCCTCCTAATAGATTCCATGAGAAAAGATTATTATTATTCCTTTTTGGGGGGAGAAAAAAATGGAAGCTCAGAGAGGTGAAGTCCTTTTTCCAAGTCACCAGCTGGCAAAGGGAAAAAGCGGGATTCGAACCTGTAGGACTCTAAGTTGGAAGCCCCCACCCACCATCCTCACTGCCAAGATGCCGGGACACCTCCCTTGCCAGGGTCGAGCAGGGTGGCGGGGGTGCCGGGCAGGCAAGTGCTCCCTGGGCTGGGGCCTCTAGTGGGGTCCCTAGCTCTGGGTGACCAGGAAACCGCCTTCTGCTTTGTGAGTTCCCAGCTGTTTTCTGTCTGCCGAGTCACCCTGCTTTTTCTTCTCAAGCCATCTTCCGGGTCTTTGCTGTCCTCTGCTCACATCTGACCTGCCCGCTTTGTACTGTTACCTTCTGGCGAACAGCTCAGCCTGGGTCTGGTCCAGTCGAGGCCTGCCACTCTGGCTGTGCAGCCTTGGGCAAGTTGCTTCATGTCTCTGAGCTCGGGTGGTGCGTGGGAAATGCTTTCACAGAGCGAGCGTGCCACGTGTAAAAGCACAAAACTCAGGACCTTTGCTGCACTCGAACCGCTGAAACCAAATGAATGATGAGTATTAAGCAAAACTGATTTGATAACATTCAAAACTGATTTGATAACATTCAAAACTGATGATTTGATAACATTCTCCCTATTCCGTCCAGCCCTTCTTCTAGGCCTTTCCCCTTGGTATTGGGTATCTATATGACCAACCCCAACAGGCTCGAGGGCCATCAACACTAAAATCAGAATAATTGGCAGAATTTTAGTCTCTGTCTAAGGGGCGAGTTTCATTGAGCACTGGACGAAGCTCACACAGCCAGGACGTGGCGGAGCTGGGTTTCATATCCAGGCCTACCTGACTCGTTGAATGCCCAAAGGCTCAGACCCTTCGCTTCGATTCTGGAAAGAGGCAGGAGGGCAGACAGGGAGACCGAGCCTCAGGCATACAGCAGGGGTGAGGCAGAGAAGGGCCAGGGTGGTCTGAAGTTGGGTGACTGTCCACGCAGCATCTGAGCCTGCGCCTTCTGCATTGGGCCCGGCTTGCAGAGTTGGGGGGCCTTGAGGGTGAACTGGGAAGGGGGGCAGATCTGTCATTTGAAGGGCGTGAAGAAGGGAGTGGCTGGCTGGGTACGCCCTCGCTTTTCAGAACAAGCCTTCACCTGATGAATGGCCATTGAAGTCTGATCCTCAGGGTCGAAGTTCACTTCATCTGTCATCCTCTCCCTTTGTTCCCCACCATGTCCAGAGGCCCAGCATCCAGGAGCCTCCCCGGGACACTGGCAGGAGACTCCTGGCTGGCTGCCTGGCCTCCATCCTTACCCTTGCAGGCCCTACCCTCAGGGGCTGTCTGTAGAGTAAGTGTAGCTCTTACTCTGTCCTAGAGGACCTGCAGGCCCCCACTCCCTGTCTTTCTCCCTCCCCTCTGGCTCCAGCAGCCTCCTCTCAGGTTCTTAAAGCTCCTCCTTGAGGGTCTTTGCACTCTCTGTTCCCTCTGCCTGGAGCACCCTTCCCACACATCTTCACATGGCCAGCTCCTTCTTATCCAGGTCTCAACTTGGATGTCACCTCCTCCAAGAAGCCCTCCCTGACCACCCTCCCCTTCCTTTCCTTGACCGCTCTCACAGTGTCCGGTTCATTTCCTGGAAAGCAGGTATCACGTCTGTCCATACCTTGTGTGTTATTCACTTCCCGCTGGGACCTAAGCTCCTTGCACAGAGAATCCTGCTCGTCTTGTCCACTGTCCTGCTTCCAGCACCGAGCATGGTGCCGGGCCCCTTTTAGTGCTTAATAAACATTTACTGAAGAATAAATGAATGAGTGATGATTCTGGAAGAAATCTAGGCTAGGATATGCTGAACCTTCTTCCAAAAAGCATTTCCTGTGGAGCCGCGGTGGTAATTCCAGGCAGGTGCCAGAGCTGGCTGGTCTGGGTTCGAATCTTGGACGCCGTGACATGACTGCTTCCCACCTGGGCACCTATGAGCAACCTCTCTGTGCCTTGGTTTCCTCCTTTCCTGACAATGATGATGTCATAGCACTTTACTGTGCCCAGGCCCTGCTCATTCAACTATGGCACACTCCTTAAATATTTCTTGAGCAACTGCTAGGTTCCAGGCACTGCGCCGCTAGTTGTGGATACAGCCGTGGACAGCACAGGGAAAACTCCCTGCCCTCCTGGAACAGACATGTGGCTGGAATCTGACATTCCAGTGGGTTATTATTTTTCACATTTCGATAGTAAATGTTGTAAAGATGATGACTGTCTCCATGTATCAGATGAGGCAGCTGAGGCATTGAGAGAGTAAGGAAGCTGCCAAGGTCCCTGAATCCGATGGCTAAGTCTAGAGTCCCTCGGGGTGTAGCAGCGCCTACCCGCAAGGTTGCCGGAGGATCCCACGAGCCAAGATAGGCAAAGTGTCAGGCACATAACAAGTGCTTATGAAACGTGCCCTGCCATTCGTGGGTGCAGTGTCACGTTTGCTGTTATCGGGGTTTTGTCAACTAAAGAAACAAATCAGGCTTTCAAAGAATTAAAGTTAGTTTTAGTCAAAGTCTCACTGAGGATCGCAGCCTGGGAGAGACTTCCAGGAAGTTCCTTTAAACTGCGCCAGAGCAGTTTCACCCACAGCTTATACATCAGATAGCGGAGGTTCTGCGTGTGCTCAGAAGTTGCATTAAATGTGCTCAGAAGGTACAGTAGAGTGAAATCTCATCAAAGTTTGGGCGTGAGTCTATGTCTGGTTATAGATGATGGGCATGATCATTAATCCCTCCAGACATTATACGGGAGGAAGCAAGGGCTGGGGTCACGAACTTAGCTTCATTAAAAATGCAGTGATTCACCAAGAAACGTGGGAACCTGGGCCTCTCCTGCTTATTATGGTCTTGGGGCTTTCTTCCGGAAGGCCACGCTCAGTCACTGAGTCAGGGCTTTGCAGTTCTGCTGGCAGGGATTTTGTGACATTCTGCCGGCGAGCAGCACGAGCTTACTGCGTTCTTACGTTTGCTACTTCGTCTCACAGGTCTGTATTGTCGAGGCCCCAGGCTGGCGAGCAGACCTGCCTGACTCTGTGCGTGTCCTCCTCTCTCCCCAGATGTGAGCCCCGCGGGCCGCCCGCTGGCCGGTCGCTGAAGTCGCGGAGCGGGGCCCCCAGGCAGGGCCTGCCCCACCCCCGGCCCGGCATGCGGCTGTCCGTGCGCAGGACGCTGCTGGTCGCCGGCTGTGCGCTGGCCCTGGTGCTGGCCGTGCAGCTGGGGCAGCAGGTGCTGGAGTGCCGGGCGGTGCTGGCGGGCCCCCGGCGGGCCATGCGGCCGGAGCAGGAGGAGCTGGTGATGGTGGGCGCGGACCGCGTGGAGTACCGCTACGGCAAGGCCATGCCGCTCATCTTCGTGGGCGGCGTGCCCCGCAGCGGCACCACGCTGATGCGCGCCATGCTGGACGCCCACCCCGAGGTGCGCTGCGGCGAGGAGACGCGCATCATCCCGCGCGTGCTGGCCATGCGCCAGGCCTGGGCCAAGTCCGGCCGCGAGAAGCAGCGGCTGGACGAGGCGGGCGTGACGGACGAGGTGCTGGACGCGGCCATGCAGGCCTTCATCCTGGAGGTGATCGCCAAGCACGGCGAACCGGCGCGCGTGCTCTGCAACAAGGACCCCTTCGCGCTCAAGTCCTCGGTCTACCTGTCGCGCCTGTTCCCCAACTCCAAGTTCCTGCTGATGGTGCGGGACGGCCGGGCCTCGGTGCACTCCATGATCACGCGCAAGGTCACCATCGCCGGCTTCGACCTCAGCAGCTACCGCGACTGCCTCGTCAAGTGGAACAAGGCCATCGAGGTGATGTACGCCCAGTGCATGGAGGTGGGCAAGGACAAGTGCCTGCCCGTGTACTACGAGCAGCTGGTGCTGCACCCCCACCGCTCCCTCAAGCTCATCCTGGACTTCCTGGGCATCGCCTGGAGCGATGCGGTTCTGCACCACGAGGACCTCATTGGCAAACCGGGTGGCGTCTCCCTGTCCAAGTGAGTGAAGCCCTCATCCTTCCACCAAAACCCTTGGCCTTGGAGTCAGGGGTACCAGGTGGGAAGATCTGCTCTGCCTCTCCTAAGCTGTATGGCTTTGGGCAGGTCACTGTACCTCTCTGAGCCTTGGTTTCGTTATAAATAAAAGAAGGGGGTGAGGGCATAATTATTCCTCTCTTTTCTTAGAGAATCAGGAAACTTTGAATATGCTTTGTAGTAAGGTAATAGTGGGTCAAGGTTAAGAGCACAGATTCTGGAACCAGACTGCATTCAAATCCCAGCTCTGCCACTTCCTAGCTATGTGACCTTGGGCAAGTGACTCGACCTCTCTGTGCTTTCAATTCCTCATCTATAACTTGGGGATATAATCGATCTACCTCACAGATACCTGCGAGCATTAATACATGTTAGGTGCTATTATTACTATTATTATTATCGTTTTAGTGTTGTTACTGCTTTTATTAGCATACTCATTATCCTGTCATTATCATTTAATGAGTGCCTACTATATAGAAAGTATTGGGTAAAGCCCCCAACAAATATTATCTCTTTAATCCCCGCAGCAACCCAAGGACATAGGAACTACTCTTATCCCCATTTTACAGATGAAAAAGCTAAATCTCAGAGAAGAGAGGTTACTGGCCTAAGATCACACAGCTAACAAAGCATGGTGCTAGGATTCGAACCCAGGTCTGTTGGACTTCAGAGCATGTGCTGTTAAGTTCCCCATGTCTAGGACCCCACGTCCCATCCTCCCTCTCATTTCCCCTCCCTTCCTCCTTCTGTCCCTTGTTCTCTGCCTTCCCCCTCTGGAGAAGCTGCCATCCCACTGTGAACCCCAGACCCCTTGAACAGTGTGTGTGGTCTCTTCATGTTCCCGTCCTTGCCAGGCCCCAGAATCCCTGAGAGCCCAGCCAAAGGGCTATCCCCCCATGGCCAGTCCCTGCCAGGCTCCTACCTACCAGGCACTTTGGTTATTTCTAGTTGTATTGACATGTACCAAGCATTGCACCCATTCATGTTCTGGGATGTGTCTCCATCATTTCTGTGCCACCAAGTCCTGGAGACACAAGCATTTTGGCCAAAGCCATGCATACACATAGGATAGAGGTGAGATTTAAATCTGGGCTCATGGATTCTACCCACCAATCAATACCCTTTCTCCTTTCCCAGTTCTCGTCACTTCACTCCCATTCATGTTTTCCTTTTGCTGCCTCTTTCTGTTTCTGTTTCTCTTTCCCCAACTCTTCTTTTAGTTGGGATGGAAGCATCCAGAAATACGCCCTTGATCCTGGGGGTTCCCCCAGGCCCCCATCCTATAAGGCCCCTGAATTAAGATCGGTAACATATTCATTCAGGTGGCTCAATAAACCTGTTCAAGGAAGCACATGTAAGATGATGGTTGTTCCATTGTAACAGCAAAAAGCTGAAAACAACCTGAATGTCCACCTTTGGGAGAATAGAAAAATAAGCTAGAGAGGAATGCTACACAGCTCGAAAAAAGAATGAGGTTTGGTTGAGAGGGGAAAAGGTTGTAGGCAGTACATGTAACGTATTTATTTGAAAGTGCGTGTGAGAGAGAGGGATGGGAGAAGAGAGCGTGCAGGCGTACGTGCACGTGCTAACCCTTATTGAGAGCTTACGATGTGCTCTCTGCTCTTCTAAGCACTTTGCATTAACTTATGTGCTCTTCAGAACAGCCCAGTGAGATAGATACTATTATCAGTCCCATTTATCAATGAGGAAAATGAGGCTCAGAGAGGTGAAGTAACTCTCCCAAGGTCACACAGCCAATATTAGTACAACTGGCGCTTGAACCCAGGCAGTCTAGCTCCTGAGTCTGCCTGGACTCAGTGCCTGTAACCACTTTATGGGAAAGGATTGAGAGAGTGCACTCCAAAATGCCAAGGCTGGGTACCCGTAGGAGGCTGAGGGACTGGCAGTGGTGACCACAGGGACTTTGAACATTACCATTCATGTTTTGTAGGTTTTTTTCCCCAAGGACAAAATATTCCTGTTAGTCACATACGTTAAAAGTTATTTTTTACGAAGTCACAGGAGTCGAGGAAGCAGAATTCACGCGCCAGCGGCGTGTCTTGCTAGCACTCTCTGACTCCCACCCCGGGCTCTTATCCCCATTGTACCGAGCACGTGTGATGAGGCAAAGTGACTCACCTGCGGTCTCACAGTTGATGGGGGCAGAGCTGGGCAGAGGCCAGGGCTCCCCAGCCCTTCCCGCTGCCCCAGAGTGGCAGAGCAGGAGCCCGCCCAGGTGCGGTCCGGGTCTGCCCTGACCCGTCCAGCCTGTCCTCTCTCCTCAGGATCGAGCGGTCCACGGACCAGGTCATCAAGCCTGTGAACCTGGAAGCGCTCACCAAATGGATCGGCCACATCCCTGCGGACGTGGTGCGTGACATGGCCCAGATCGCCCCCATGCTGGCTCGGCTCGGCTATGACCCCTATGCAAACCCACCCAACTATGGCAACCCCGACCCCATCGTCATCAACAACACACACCGGGTGAGTGTGCGCGTGTACTCCTGGAAATGTGTTCCCGGGGCTTTGGCAGGAACGGAAGCTCCAGCTGCCTGAGAAAACATGAAGTCTCTTGGTTCCTGAGCAACTGGGGTTTGTTTTGTTTCTATCTGATGAACACTGTGAATTGTATGACTGCGTGTCTTTCCATTTTTGCTTGGGCTGCAAGGAAGCTCAAAGCCAGCTGGTAGCCTGTCTCATACTTTAACAGACGGACCACTTGTGCACTAATTTTATCTTATTCCCCTGCTCTCATTTACTTTTTTTCCACTATGTCCCTGGCTATTTGTTTGTTTGTTTATCTGTGAAGCACCTCAAGTCTTTGTCAAGAGTGAACATAAATAAATAATTGGTCCCTGTATTGTCCCTTACGGTTCAATATTGATTTCTCAGACAAACATGAGCCTGGGGTTGTTTGAATTACTTTTTAAGTTCTCCTTAGTTAAGGTAGTCAGGGGAAATGACTTTTAACAAAATGTTTTTGAAATGTTAAAGTAGGCTCATACTCACGGGGTAAAAGAACAGTTAACAAGTTCATGGCCTTGTTTCTGTATTGTGGTCACAGCTTCTAGTTGACTTTGGGGGCTGTGTTCTGACTTCCTTCTAGGCACTAAGTTAGTTAAAATATTTGACGATGGGATCCAGGCCCAAAGAAGAGCCCTCCCAGCCTTTGCATCCTTGGGACCCAACGTCTTAATTTAAGCTAAGCTCAGCGTTTCTGAACACGTGTTAATTTTAGAAAGGAAACAGCTCTTGTATTGAGTCACAGCGGAAAAAAGTTATTCCTCTCTCAGTTCTCCTTTAATTCTTCTCGGCTCAAGGAGGAAGTCTCCCTTCGGTGCCGAGTCCTTAGGCCTCCCCGACACTCACTGATCTTGCTTTTCAACAGAGAATTTACTAACACTGCGCTTTCAGGGCTCTGCCTTCTCATTGAAGCGTAAGCCTGTCCGTGCGTCTCACGAGTTCCTCCTTCCGGGGACGCCAGTTGGTTTTGCAGTCGTTTATTTACAGAAATACTTAGAGATCTGATGCACATACCCAGGCTATGTTGACAGTGTGGACGGTTGCAGCCTGAACATGGTTTATTTTTATTATTTTATTATAAACATTATTTTTATTCTTTAGTACTAATAGTCATTATTATTCTTCAAACTCTACTTACATGTTTTATCTATTTTTCTGCACGTATGTTACCACAATAAAAAATTAATTAACTGGATGAAAAAGAAGAAGATGGCAATGATCTTGAAATCCAGCCCCCAGGTGCTTCTCCAAAGCAGCAGCTGGGGCTGGATGGGGACCACCGCAGTACTTGGGTGGGCACTCCTTACCCCACTCTTCTTTGCCAGGACCCCAGCACTGGCTCCCTGGGGTCTCTTTAAAAGGCGGAAGTCCCTGGTTTGTCCCAGACTATGGGTCACAAGCTCCCGGAATAAAGCCTGACTTTGTGTATTTTATAAACAACTCTAATGAGCACTGGTGGTTAAGATCAACTCTTCGGAGCTTTTTCATTCATTTGTTTAACATGGAAGATGTTTCCAGTTTTCTTCCAAGGAGATTTCTTCTCTGGGGAATTCCACAAGTCTTGGCAAGTGTCAGACACCCAGTTCGATCTTTCCAGTGGCTTTGCCGTCACCTGGAAGATACGTGCTTTCATAGAGAGTCCCTCTGTGATACTTTCTTCATAACACTTCCCATGGTTTGATGTGTCCTTGTTTATTCGTGTTGATTGTCACCTGTGTATTGTCTGGTGCCCTCTCTAGAATAGAAGCTGTAGGAGAACAAGAATTGCAATTTTCCAGTTAACGTTGTCCCCCGAAGTACTTGGGGTAATGCCTGGAATGGGAGCCCGACACGTGCTTGTTGGAGGGGTGGAGGAGGGGTGGACGTGTGGATGGGTGGGGGGAGGGGCGTGGGTGTTGGGATGAACTAAATTTCATTTTTCAATCATTTCTACAACATTGGTATTTCTTTCCTGTCGCCCAGGTCTTGAAAGGGGACTACAAAACACCAGCCAATCTGAAAGGATATTTTCAGGTTAGAAACTCCAAGGAGAATCCTGTTTTTCCCGGCTGTCGCACCAGCTCGCTGTCTGCCCCGGGACACTTTGCTTCTCCGCTCTGGCTGGCAGTTTCCTTGTCCTAAAATGGGGAGTGGCGGTTGGGCCAGAGGGTCTCTAAGTGTCCGATCCCTCTGGGCCTTCTGCGGGAGAAGTCTGTCACCTTGTCTTCTGGCTCAAATGCAGCTGGAGGGGCTTCATGGGGACTTACCTCTTGAGCTTCCTGTCTCTAGCCTCAAGTTCAGTTTTATGTAAAGCAGCAGTTTCTAAACAACAGCCCAGCGTAAAATTCTCATCAGTGCACGAGAAACTAGAAACACGAGGGGCACGTGATGCTTGTATATGTGCGAGTGTGGACACACACACACTCTGGCATCGCCCCCCACACCCCCCAAGCCTCCCAAGCATCTGCTCTGTGTGCACAGCAGTGGTCCCTGTCTCATGTCATTGTTGGTAGAAGGGAGGCCTTTGACACACAGCAAGGGCTGCCCCTTTACCGACATTGTAGCCAGCCTCCTTTTGGTGTTAAAATGCCCCCTTTTAAATGAAAGGATGGCGCTAGAATTATTAATAGTAGTGTGGCTTTGTGCATGTGTTTAATTTGACAAAGGCTGGGCCACTCTACGGCAGCCCCCAGTCCTCCTTCATGATCTGACTGGTGACGTCTGAGAGCCAGGGACCACAGCTTTTGAGCACTTCCCAGTTGTTTGGGGAGGGGTTCACTCCGCAAAGCGAAGTGTTTCTCCTAAGTCCTGTGAGTTGTTCTAGTGAATTATCAAAGGAGCGGTGTGCGGGGGAGGGTGTGTGATGTGATCAGAGGCCCCTCTCGGGCCACTGTGTATCTAAAAATACGGCCAGGATTAGTGAGCACTAACTGATTACTTTTTTAACCGACAAGATGATGTCACAAGAACAACAAACAGAAGTGGGGGTGAGGGGAATTATCCGCCATCTGAAACTCTTCATTTTTGCATGTTGCCTTCTTTTTTTTTTTTGGCTGACCCAAATATGCACGTTTGCGTGCGTTGCAGTTCCATTGTCTGAGCCGCTTTGTTTTGCTTTCTTAATATTTTCCCACCTTTGGGGTTTCGCGGGCCACGTGGCGTTCCGTGGAGTGCAGCACGTGCCGCCCTTCACTGAGCTGCCGCCCCGAGATCGTTTCCCATGTCTGCAGTATCCCGAGTGACGTCACGTACGCAGCATCCTCATTCCGCCTCTCTCCCGTGGAGTGAGGGTGCTCTGTTGAGTCATTCCCTCAGAATACATTTTTAGAAATAGAATCAGTGGGTGGAAGGGTCTGGATCTTTTGAATATTCTTGATCCACAAGTGTTTTACAAAAGGGTTGGACCGGTTTCCACTCCCCTGCAGGTACAGCACACACAGGACATCTAGCTGGACTGGGACTGGTTTTTGCTATTAGGAGTAAAATGTGAAGAATGGCGTGTGCCTGTCGTCACGAGCCACCCCTACCCTCAGGAGGGCTGCCCTGCAGATAAATTGTGTCAAGCCCCTGCTTTCCACCCTCACCTGTCCTGCTGTCCTACACGGTGTACATGACATTATTCCAGATATTGCAAAGGCCAGGTGCGGTGGCTGCTGGCTCATGCATGTAATCCCAACACTTTGGGAGGCTGAGGTGAGAGGATTGCTTAAGACCAGGAGTTCAAGACCAGCCTGAGCAACATAGCAAGACCCCATCCCTACAAAATGTAAAAAAATTAACCGAGCATTGTGGCGTGCGCCTGTAGTCCCAGCTATTTGGGAGGCTGAGGCAGGAGGATCGCTTGAGCCAGAAGTTTGAGGTTGCAGTGAGCTATGATGATGCCACTGCACTCTACGCTAGGGGGAAAGAGCAAGGCCCTGTCTCTAAATAAAATAAAATAAAATGCCTGGAAATAGTCTTAGAGAAGCCATTAAGTAAATAGCAGCACATGCATTCCATGGAACACTAGGTAGCCATCCAAAATGGTGCCAGTGAAACTCAAAAGAGGAAAAATATTAAGAGAACAAAACAAAGTATCTCATCCATTAAAATTGCAATGGATGCAAAAATACACACTCAACTTCATAGGTTCCAGCTACCCTCCCCGCTTCCAGATCTTTGCTGTTCCCTCTGCCAGGGGTGTTCTTCCACCCGGGTCTTTGCATGGCTCACCTGGTTTCCATCCTCCAGCTATTGGCTTACAGTGTTTTCCAGCCCCAACGACCAGTTCTCTGATTATCCGAGCACCAACCGGGTGCTCAACAACTCAATTCCATTCTGACAGTGACTTCCACAGGTTAAGGGTTCAGTCCCACAAGATTGTTCCCCTTCAAATGCCAGCTGCAACAGGGGGCCCAGGCTACCTGTGCCTCTGCCCAGCCGACTAGAGATTTGGAGGTCCCGCCCCCACCCCCAGTTTGATAATTCACTAGAACCATTCACAGGACTCTGGAAAACACCTTACTTACTATTACCTGTTTATTACAAAGAATACAACTTAGGAAAAACCAAAGGGAAGAGAGGCATAGGGTGAGGCATGGGGGATGGGTGACGAAGCTTCCATGCCCTCTCCGGGGGGTGCCATCCTCCAAGCATCTCGGCCTGTTCCCCAGCCCCCTCTTCAAACCCTGGCATTTAGAGGTTTTAATGGATGTCTCACTACGCAGCGTGATTGATTGAATCATCAGTCGTTGGTGGTTAACTCGATCTCCAGCCCCTCTCTCCTCCTGGTAGGTTGAGGATGTAGCTGAAACGTCCAGGCCTCTAATCACGCCTTGATCTTGTGGGTAACCAGCCCCCATCCTGAAGCTACCCAGGCCCCCCCCACCCCCCCAGTGATCCCACTAGCGTGCATCCCAAGGGTTTTAAGGAGCTGTGTGCCAGGAACTGGGGACAAAGGCCAAATACGTATTTTTTATTATGGCACAGCTTCAACGTCATCTTGCAGAGTCCCCTCCTGACCATCGTACCTGCCATAGTGCCAACACCTGTCACTCGTACCTGCCCGTCGTGAGCAGGCTCTCTCCCCAGCTAGAATGTAAGCTCCGTGAGCACAGGGCTGGCTCTGTCATGCTCGAGGAAACTTCCCAGCACCAGGCACATAGTAGGTGCACAGTAAATATTGATGAGCAAGTGTGTGCATGACGCAGGGATTCTGAGGCTTAAGCTCAGGGCAGCGAGGCATCCCCACCTGGCCGTGACCCCTTCCTCTGTGTGTCGTCTTCCTGCAGGTGAACCGGAACGGAACCTCCTCCCCCTTTGGAAGCTTGTGATTTCCTGGTACGTGGGCCTGTGGACTTCGCTGGGGACCTCCCGCTGCTTCTAGGCCCAGGAGCTGATTTTCTGAAAGGCTTGCCCTTCCAGAACCTCCCTGGAGAGAAGTGTCCACCAGGGTGGGCTGTCCGAGCCTCATCAGGTTTCCATGGTGACAGGCTGAGGGAGCTATTTATAGAATCAAGGCTTAGTTGCCTAGCTCTGGATCAAGGACAGTAGCAGGGATGGATGCAGAACCAACCAGAAAAAAGTTTGCCTGGCACTGGGGAGGGGGCAGGAAGGACCACTATGATGGGGAGTGATTCTGGAACCATTTTTGTACAGAATGCTGTCTGCCGGTCTGGCTTCTATAAATAGCATTAGCTTTGGCCCAAAGCAATTAACGTTCTAATAATAGTGGCAAGTAGTTCTGTTCTAAGAATAACCTCCATGGCATTGGCCAAGTACTCCTTGTTTGTTACTCATTTAACCCTCAGCACCCTTGGGAGGCAGGTGACACGATTCTCCCATTTTACAGAAGGGAAAACCAAAGCGCAGAAAAGGGCTTTGACTTGCCTGAGGCTACATAGCCACCAAGTGGCAGAACTCCCCTCAAAAGTCATCTTCCCCCAGAGTTTGCTTTTAGTGAACAATTGTAAGTCCCTGTTTGTCCATCCATATTTTCCTATGGGTTAGGGAAAGAGACTTTGGACTTGAGAGATTGAAGCGCTCTCCAGGTTTAACATCTCTCAGCCTCCATTTTCCACATCTGGAGGGTGCAGATTCATCGGCGCCCACGTCCCAGGGTGGTCATGAGATGACATGAGCTGGCCCAGGTGGGAACGCGTGGGAACTGTAGAGTGCTGGACCCTCAGCGTGGACTTGGGCACTGAGTTAAGGCTCCATGAGTGAGCTGACTTCCTTGTGTCCCCCGCCTCTCTGATCAGGTTCAAGGGCAAAACCAACTTGCACTTTCTCTGTTATTTTCTATTGAAACTGAGCTTCTAGCCTGGACTCTTATTTTTAGCTTATCTCTTTTGAAACAATCAACATATTTTTTTAGTTTTTGCTTTAAATTCACTTTGCACCAGCCTGTAAGGCTGGGGACGCTAGAACCCTGTTGTTGTCAGGGTTCCCATCTCGAGTTGCACTAAGATCCCAAAGTTCTATTTAATTCTGAAGAAAAGAACCTTCACCTTAAAATCAGCCTTTCTCATGATTCTGTTTCACCCTAACTCTGTTCCCCCCAGCTAGCTTTCTCGTAGAATCCTGACCCTTCGTGTTGATAAAAGCAGATTTATTCCTCATTTGATTGTTTAACACATTGACGGCCATGTGAGTTGTATTGAACTCACACTAGTTTTGAGCCCGGGGCCTCATGAAGCATATGTGACTCACACGGCTCTTCACCTTGGGAGCCATGTGAACTATTTTTCAAGTTGCATGTAATCGCACACAGAAAATAATACAAAATAACAGATTTTTCATTAAATTAGAAAGGATCATTTTGTTTTCAAAGTTTTTATTCTATTTTCATAATAAAATACCATGGCCCCAAGGGAAAAAATATTTTTTTCTAGCGTGGCAGCCAATATGTCGCTGATCCCTGATACAAAATTGGCCTTGAACAAACGCTAATCCTTCCCTTGCCTCCGAACATTCACTGGTTATTTCTCACGTAATCACGGCCATTTGCTCTTATATATATATATAAAAAGTATACCTTTGAGGTCACATGGTTGCAAATTGAGATGTGGGTAAGAACCCAAGAAACATTTTTAAATTTAAATTCTCCCTGGCCATCTGGGATGCACGCATAAAACCTTACGTGCTTGTGGGAATGGATGAAGACCATACGTTCTGCAATCACACGTATAAATATAAAAGATCTATTTCAGAATTGTTACTTGGGCCTAATGCAGTCTTCTCCCTCTTCCAGATCTCTGCAAATGGCTTCGTTGCCAGGAAGAGAAGAAACCACATTCGAATGGAAATCGGACCTCTAATCCAAGCATATTGCTTGCAGTTAATTGCCAAAACAGGACTGCTAATGAGGAATGTATTTGCATATGTTTGCAAAAGGTGAATCATCGAAAACATACCTTGAAACTCTCTATTGGTGGACACTCTAGGGTAGAGAGCAAAGAGTATGGAAGTAGTCCAGCTTTTGAAACTTAGATATTTTATATTTTTCCCCTCGAGAACTTTTTTTTAAGAAATGGGATCTGCCATCCTCCTTAATTTGCAGGACTGCCTCGGTGGCTTTGTTTGCTGGGACAAGGCCCACAACCTGTGCCTCTCCTATTGACCCTTACTTTGCATTCAAAGGATCTATTTAAGAATTTAATATATGAGGCTTTCTTTGATTCCTCCTCAGTTCTACTCAGTTTCACAGAGGAAAAACATTTATGACTTTGAATAAAGTGAACAGGGGCTCATTTGTCTCTGCCTTACTTTACTGGTGTGAACGGGGTTTTTTGGTGGTTTTCCATATCGGATTTTGCCAGGTAGAGTGGTGACAAGCAAAACCTGGAGAATATAGGTCCATGCAAGGCACAGCTGAGCGTGTCAGGAGTCCCCAAGCCACCCTCAGGTTCAGTGATTGGCTAGAAGGACACAGAAGGGCTGTTAGACTCAGTTAATGGTTTGTTACAGCACAAGGATACAGGTTATAAAATCAGCAAAACAAGAAGGCGCATAGGGCAGAGTCCAGGAGAGACCAGCCTCAAGCCTTTCCGATTGTCCTGTCCCAGCGGACTCTGATGGATGTGTTTAATTCTCCTAGCAACAATGTGTGACAACATGTATAAAGTGTTGCCAGCCGGGAAGCTCATTCCAGCCTCGTCCAGGTTTTTTTTTGGAGGTCGGTCACATAGGCATGGGGCAGCCACATGACTGACCTTAGTTACTCAATCAGTATCCCCTGCAGACGTCAGAATGATACAGCGTGGCCCAAGGCCTCCGCCATAGATCATCACATTTTTAGCACAAACTATCTGGCCCGCCTGGCATGGCCCAAGCCCCTAGGTATGTAAAGACACCCTGTTAGGGAGCATATTCCAGGGGCTTAGAGTTTATCTTCCAGGAGCCCATGAAGACCAGTCCTTTCTTTGAAATGTACCGGGTTTGGACACTCCAAGCCTGCCGAGTTAACCCTTTGCCACACCGTCCCCAAATGCTGAGGGACCAACGGGGCCCAGAAGACTTCGTCTCTTCATCTGTGAAATGGGGAAGTTAAAACTTCACGAGTTTATTGACAACCACTAATAGGTGACATTGGCAATGATGCTTAGTACCCGATGAGCCGTCAGTATGAGGCAGCTCTTGTCTCCAGCTCTTGTCGACTGCGGTGGGATGGTTATTAGGCTTTGGAGGGGGTGAGATCCCTTTCGTTCGTTCATTCAGCGGTCATTTATCAGTCTGCTGCTCAGTTTGCCAAGGGTGGTGCTGTTTCTTTGAGAATCTGGTCACAGCTGCGCATCCCCTCCCCATCCAAAAAGGAAACCATTTATGTCTTGGTTCCAGGAGTTCCACCTTTTGTGAGAAGTCGTGTGACTATCCATGAAGACCCTGGATAGTCACACAACTGCCTGGGAAAACACTGAAAGAACCTAAAGAAAAGAAATGTCAGGAGAGAAAGGAAGGAACAGACTCTCTTTCCAGCCCCCCAAGCAGTGGCACTGGGGCTTGTCCCCTGAAAAAAAAATAGTCTCAGAATCCCCCTCCCACTTCCCCTTCCCTGATTTGATCTGAAAAGATGTTTGAGTACTACATGAATCTGTTATAAAATATGAAACAATCAAAAGAATTTATAGTAAGATCCAAGAGGCCTCATTTGTACTTCTCAACATTGTCCTTCCTTCCCTAAAGGTAATGCTACCGTTATCTGTTGGGCACAGAGTCTTCCAGACTTTTCCTATAAATTTCCATACATATAAATATATGCTTAAATATATCTTAAAGATGCATAAATAAATACCACTCTGGGCCAGGCATGGTGGCTCATGTTTATAATCCCAGCATTTTGGGAAGCCAAGGTGGGAGGATTGCTTGAGGCCAGGAGGCTGAGACCAGTCTGAGCAACATAGTGAGATCCCGTCTCTACAAAAAACAAAAAACAAATTAGCCGGGCGTGGTGGTGCATGCCTGTGGTCCTAGCTACTCAGGAGACTGAGGCAGGAGGATCACTGGAGCCCAGGAGTTTGAGGTTGCAGTGAGCTACGATGATACCACTGCACTCTAATCCGGGTGACAGAGGGAGACCCTGTCTTGAAAACAAAAACGAAACAAAAAAACCCAAAAAATACCACTCTGAATGGGTTATTCTAAAATGTAATTTAACAAATTGCCCTGGAGGGTTTTCGATGTAAACACATGCAGATTTGACCACCCCTTCTACCAGCACCCTGTATTTCGAGCAAACCATCTTTTTGAGCATTCTACTTTTGCTAGGTCCTTAGACGACTTCCAGTTTTCACCACTACCAGCAAAGCTGCAGTGGGTGTTCCTGTGCACACCTCTTGGTGCAGCTGTACGTGTCTCTGCAAAATGAGAAGTAGAAGTGCTGAGGTGAAAGGCATACATACTAACTTTTTCGATAGATTCAACCCACAGTACCCTGATTTGGGCAGAAGTTTGACCTCGGTGTGGAACCAGAGCCTTGTTTCAGAGCCTTTCTTGGGGGCGCCTTGGAGCAGCGAGTCAGCCATCCCTTGTACTCTGTTCCATCCACTGTCCAGTTTGAGCAGCAGGCATCATCTCTGGATTCCTGAATTTGCCACAGGTGAAGACATTGTAATCAGCATGTTACTTGGGTGCTATTTTAATACAGAATCAGCTTTGGAGTCAGAACTCAAGTCACATCCTAGCGCTGCCACTTACCAACTGTGTAACCACGAGCAAGTGATTCCACCTCTCTGAGCCTCAGTTTTCCTCTTCTGTAGGATGGGGATAAATGGATAAGGACTGTACCAACCTCTTGGGATGGTTAAGAGAAATCAATGAGATAAGCAAACACATCATCTAGTTTAGTGAAGCTAAGCAATGAAAGCTTATATGCCATGGTGAAGGCTTAATAAGTGGTAGCTATAATGATTCTTACTACAATTCTGAAATAAGGGATGGGTTCTGATGAACAATCCATGTCCTCTCATCAGAATGTATGTTTATCCATCTGATGGCAGCTGCTGTAGTCATGGCCTGTGGCTGTAAGACAGTCTTCTGCACATGTGCCAAATGGATCGAATACAGATCCCCATCCTCCTTAACAGCTGCCTACCTGGCTGAGCCATCAGGGCCTCCAAAGGGCTTGGCAATTTTCCATTAAAAAAAAAATCTCTTACCTGTGTCTGCCCAAAGGGTAAATCCCCCCCTCCTTCAGAAAAAGGGATGGACAGTTGATAAAAATATGAACTCAGGAAGCTCATGGTCACCAGTCAGTGGGTAGCAGAGGACGTCCTGTCTCAGACATTCATTGTTCCACTCATCTGCTCCATACCAACCAGCCCAAAACTGAGTGACTTAATCTGTTAAATCTCTCAGTTCTGGGAGTTAACTAGAGCGAGCTGGTGAGTCTCTGGTCAGATGGTAACTGAAGGCATCTTCATTCATGTGTCTGATGCCTGGGCTGGGATGGTTGGAGCAACTAGAGGCTTAGTGGGCATTTCTGCCCACGTAGTCTCTTTACGTGGCTAGCTTGGGCTTCCTCACAACATGGCGGTCTCAAGGTGGTCAAACTTCGTGCCTGGTACTGGCTTGCCCCTGAGCAAACATTGAAGAGGCAGGAAGCAGAGGAACTGCCAGTTGGTTAAGGGATATGCCTGAAATTGGCACAGTGTCACTGCCACTTCAGTTGTCCAAGTAATCATGGGGATCTGCCACAAGCAAGAGAGTGGACAAATAGACTGGTGGTGGAGTGGCAAGGTCACATTGCAGAAGAGCGTGTGGCGTGGGACATACTGTTGTGGCCATCTTTCAAAAATACAATCAGCCAAAGTCGTCATGAAAAATAGTTCATCAGCCTCAGTTTATCAGTGATGGTAGGTTATCAAGTGACTTTCAGGTCTCTGGGCTATGCTGATGTCACCAGAATGTTCCCTTTCTTAATTTCAGGGTACAAAATGAGGACACATCTTTACTATTTAAATTACAGTGATTCAGATTCGGAGCCCCTTAGGTCATCAAAAAACCCAGGGATCAGGGACAACTCCTCCTACCAGTGGAGGTGTTCTAGGCCTTTCCAAACCCCACATCTGGGCCCAGAACCGGGAGGACCCCTCTTACCGTTCTCCTCAAAGTCTGCCTCATTCTCTGTTCTGAACGAACACTGCCCCAGATAATTAACAACGAGAATTCCGTTTCTTCAGATGGAAGCCTGAGCTCCGCCCACCAGGCCCTTCTCCAGCTTAAGTCCTTTCACAAGTCAGGATTATTTTGATCTAATCTGATCTAACCCTGTTGCCATGGTAACAGCTATTGTTTGGGGGTTTTTTGAAAAATGAGTTGTTCGTCAAATTTTTTAAAAATGATTATAGGCCGGGCGCGGTGGCTCACGCCCGTAATCCTAGCTCTCTGGGAGGCCGAGGCGGGCGGATTGTTTGAGCTCAGGAGTTCAAGACCAGCCTGAGCAAGAGCGAGACCCCGTCTCTACTAAAAAAATAGAAAGAAATTAATTGGACGACTAAAAATATATAGAAAAAATTAGCCGGGCATGGTGGTGCATGCTGTAGTCCCAGCTACTCAGGAGGCTGAGGCAGGAGGATCACTTGAGCCCAGGAGTTTGAGGTTACTGTGAGCTAGGCTGAAGCCACGGCACTCTAGCCCAGGCAGCACAGTAAAACTCTGTCTCAAAAAAATAAATAAATAAATAAAAAATGATTATAGACTCATATGAAGTTGCGAAAGTGGTGCAAAGAGGTCCATGTATCCTTCACCCAGCTTCATCCAGTGCTGACATCTTATACAATTGAGTACAGTAGCAAACCCAGGAAAATGACACTCGTAACATACTACTAGAGACCTTATTCAGTTTTGACCGTTTTTACATGCATTCATTTGTGCGTTTATAGTTTTTGATAAAGTTCCAAGTCAAGCATTTCAGGGTTTTGTTTCCTTCTTTTAGCAACATAACCTTTGATATACCCTACACAAATCAAGTCACATGTAAACACTAAATCTTTAAAACAAAAGTGGCTGTTCTGATGAGGACTCCGTTGCTGCCCCAAGCACCAGGTATTTCTCAAGTACTTTATCATAGTTAATGTTTTGTATTTATTTGCTGCAAGTTGATCTTACTCACTAGGTTGTAAACTCCGTGATGTAGAAACCATTATTTTTAACGTTCACCACCTACCTCCATAACCTACCATGCCAAGCATGTCCTATAGGTGCGGTAGCCAGCTTCCAAGATCACCCCCAGTGAACCTCGCCTCCTGGTATCCATACCCGCTTTGGCATATTGCT